TTTTTTAAAAAAAGCCATCTAAACTGACTATCACTTGTGTGATTGATTCAATCATTAACACTAAGAAACAAACAATTAATTTCAGAATTATTGAAATTAGTGCCATTACAAAGGTGATAATTTTTTAAATATAATTAATTATATAGATAAAAAATAAACATGACTTAGCTTATTTAATCCTTTCCGCATATGTGAATTCCTTTGTCCTCACATGAAATGATTAATTTATAATATACATGAAGTCGAAATTAAAACCCCAAAGTTGAAATGTTTTGACTTGAAGCAACTACATAGTAAAAATCAGTTTCGACCTTATTTCAACTCTAATTTTGGCCAGATCTGCAAATGGTTGAAATAGTTTCAACTTTATATATAATTTATAACATTCCTGAACCATTTTATTTTACAGCTTTCACCTTGGTGCCAGTGATCATGGTGACTATCACAATAGGAGAATTGAGCAGCCACCTTGTACTTGTAAGATGCATGCTCTCATTAAGCTACAATCCTTTATTAACTAACCTAGGGTGGATTATATGGGCAAGAGTCTTCATTTAAAAAATAACAAATACAGTTGGTCAAATAAAAGTTAAAGAGAAACAGAGAATGATTAATTTATAACATACCAAACTAAATCTGAATCATTTTATTTTACAGCCTTCCTTCTAACATCAGAGCCCAAATGCAATTTTCAGGACCACCAACCCTGCAACCTCCTGTGCTTGAAATGAGTTGCAAATTCTCGTTGCTTTGATGGATCTGGATGTTTACATGGCACTACAATTCATCTGCAGAGTTGCGACTTGGTCACAGATCCATACTTACCTGGAGGTAGGATCGTTGCAGGCAACTTTTTGGTTAGCATGCCAGCAGCCTTCTCTGGTCTGGTTCTGTGAAGATTAGTAGGATGTCATTGATGATTGATGCAGTCTTGATGTAGCTCCAGGGCTATGCGCCCCCCTGGAATTCTGTTGCATCATCATATCCATAGGGCGAAGCTGGTCAGATTAGCCTTTGTACACAAGGAAGAGATGAGAATGACTGTAAAGTGTTCAAGGTAACATACATGCTTCAATGCCTGTTAATTTCCGATAATCAAACATCGCATATTTGAATTGTTTCTTCTATGACAGTCAGTCATGTTGCCTTGACATCTTGTAATTATATAATAATAATATTAATATTAATTACGAACAGGAAAGCAAAATACTAATCGTTTATTCGTTATCATCTTGATAAGAATTTTATAAATACCCAGCAAGCTCTGCTCCACATTTTGATTCCAATTAAAATATTTATAAAAACTAAAATAAAAATATAAATACAATAAAAAATAATAGTATCTCTGGTTAGTTATTAACACTTCTTCTTTAGGAGACTCACGTTTTGTCATTTGAAAAATAAATTGTTCTCCCAAAAAAAAAATCAATCGCGTCAACAAGGAAAAAAACAAATCTTTGTGCAACACCAAGTGCCAATAACAATAATTAATTAATTAGTGTACGCGTTTGTTTTTTTTTTTTTTTCAAATACTACATTAATATATTGTTTTATTTTATATAAAAATTTTATTAATTTATTATTATTTCTAGTTTCGTTAACTGACATGCTACGCATGTCCAGCTCGCCTTGCTTACTTACCTGATAACTATTATTATTTCTAGTTTCATTAACCGACATACTACACATGTCCAGCTCGCTTTGCTCACTTCCCTGTTAACTACTTTTATTTCAGAATTTTTTTTTCTTTGATGTGGCCTGAAACTTGGATTACAACACATAGTAAATGTAGTATACCTAATGATAATGAAATTGATATGAAATTGACACCTACATGTCCTTGTGGATATACACGATATAAAAAATTAATGATTCGAAATTGCTATTAAATTGGCTTCTGGAACACCTTATGAATATAAACTGGATAAAAAATTGGTGAAAAATCGAGTTTTGTGCCAGAAACACCCATTCTATACAACAGGGGCGATGCAACCATTTATTATGAATAATAACATCAAATTCATTGCATGATCATTGTAATAGACGTGATACAATAGTGGAGACAAAGGTATTCGCATTCAAGAAAAAAAAATCACCAGAGCAATTGCATGGGAAGTCATTGACAAGTATTATTTATTCTTTGGTTACTCTGGTGCAAATCTATCCTACACTTTTACTATTTTTATTATTGTCAATAATATTATTAATATTAATATCTTCATCTTTAATTCCTAACATTTTATTCTTCACTATATTAACCCATTCCTGAATTACTTACACCATTTTCTCCGCAAATTCGTTTTTATTGGTGGAGGCCTTTTATCATAAAGACGGCAATTCTTTTTCCTTCGCCAAGTAATCCATCACCATTTACTAAAAGAAAATTTGAATCCACAAGATTCAATTTTTTCCATGTACTTTTTTTACCAACTGGTTTATTTCAATTTTATTCCTTCAGGCTCTATTTCATTAACCATTTTATCAATTTTTTTTTGATTTATGTTTTAGAGTTAACTTTTGCAAGTTTTATGATGAAAAAAAGAGTAATAACAATCTACAAAAAAATTCGGTGAAGTTATTTATTTATTTATAATGAATGGGATTATTGAAAAAATATGATATTTAATATTGATTTTTATTTTACGATTGTAAGAGTTTTAGCTATTTATATAAATTTTTTTTTACCTGAATTAGTGTGAAATAAAAATGTACTTGACACTAAAGAATCATTTGTGGTACAAATGTCCACCATAACATGAAAAAGCAATTTTGAGTTAGTCTCTATTATTATGTATAAAATTAGGCTTAGATTTTTTTTTCTATTGTCCAGCCTAGGAACGCCAACAATACATCATTAACCAATTTCGCGTGTATTGACGGTCCCCTTTAGCCCACAGATTTCATTATTACGTGATTACGTGACGGGAAAGGAAATACTGTTACCTTTTTGGGAAAGATCTCCTATTCGGCAAAAAAAATTCAGCACATGAATGTTGGTTAACTTAAAAACAAGTGCATGTGGCTGTACATTTTTTGCAAATAGTAAGTGATGATCATTTTTTCTTTGTATAAATTAATTAATCTTATCGAGTTTATTAAAAGGAAAGAGTGAGAAAGGATAATTTTAATAATTTTTAGGATTTAATAATAGTAATTACAATTTTTAATATAACGAATATTATTTGCTCCGCAACCAGCGACTATTCTATATAAAACGAGTGTTATTTTCTTTCTCGGTCTCTTTATTATATAATATTAATATTAATATTAATATAAAAATGAAAAACAATAATTATAGCATTAATATCATTATTCTGTTATTGCTGTTAGTTATAATTCCTATAGCAATTGGATCGCCAATTTATCGACCAAAAAAAATTAAATTTAAAAAATTTGTTGTGTTTGGTGATTCTTATTCAGGTAAAAATATCAATTTCACATTCAAAAAAATATAGGTCGAATTTCAAAAACAAATTATTATTATAGATAATGGAAATGTATTCTTGTTGACAAATAAAACTTGGCCACTTTCTATTGGCGGAAGATTTTCTAATGGATGGGTTTGGCCAGAACATTTGTCTCGACTATCTAATGCCAAATTAGTTGATCTTGCATATGGTGGTGCTACTACAGAGTAAATCACCATCATTATTATTGTTATTGTTATTATTATCATCAATATTAGTATTAATGTTATATTATCGTAATATTATAATAGTAATGATTTGATTAAAGGATTTGTAGGTCGAAATTCGGATGTTTTAGTTCCTGGGATAAAACAACAAGTTGACAAGTATCTTAAACATTGTAAAAAAAAGAAGAGAGACTCCACTTTATTCACAGTAAGTATAAATAAATAAATAATTAATAATTAATTACTATTTCTCTCCATCGCCCTAATTACCAATAAATCGATTGATATAGATTTGGGATGCGGGGAATGATTACCTTAACAGCAATTATTCAATAGATCCAAAATTGTTAGTTAAATCCATAATGACATCGATTAATACATTGTATACAGAAGCCGGGGCAACCAATTATTTTGTGCCAGATCTTCCAGATCTTACAGTAACACCGTTGATCCGAGAATTACCAGAATTAAAGACAAAAGTACCTAATGTAGTAAAGCTACACAACTCTGAACTAAAAATTGCATTAGATGCCTTCGAAAAAACCAATCCAAAAGTGAAGATCTATAGGTTCCCAACGGTGAAATGGTTCAAATCAATATTAACGCCCAACAATACAAAAATCACACAATTAGGAATAGAAAATACTGTCGATGCTTGTGCAAATTTATATGCAATTCCACCTATAGTTTGTCCAAATCCTGATAAATATGCATTTTGGGATTCTGTTCATTTAACAACCAAAATTCATAAACTTTTTGCAGATCATGTTATTAAGTTGTTAAAATAATATTTGTTTATTAAATCTTAATTTTCACATACATTTTAGATAAATTTTTATTTTTGCATAAAAAGCTTCGTAATTTCATATTTTGTAAAAACATATAGTGTAATAAACTTAATAAAAATATAACTCGTTAATATATTGTGTTTTATATAATTTATACGAATAATCAATAGAAACAGTAATATGTGAACATATTAAGGTTGTCTATTAGGATATATATTTGGTTGGTGTCATCGATTATGACTACATCGTAAAATTGCGAATACCAAATGAACTCCATCACATCCAGCTCAATGCCATAATAAAAAATGTAATCTATATAAGAATCAAATCTAATATCGAAATTAGGTTGTGGTGGTTGTGGTATCTGTAGCGGTGGTGGTTGTGGTATCTGTAGCGGTGGTGGTGGTGGTATCTGTAGCGGTGGTGGTGGTGGTGGTGGTGGTGGTTGCTGTTGTTGCTGTTGTTGCTGCTGGTATCGTAACCGAAATTGGCTGAATTGATCAGAATATCTATTTATAATTTGATTGAGTTCTTCTTTTTCTTTGTCGTTCCCCTCCCTTAAAATCTTTTCTACCCCTTGGATTATAAGGCTTATATAATCCGCTTCGATTCTCGGGCGTTCGTTAAGTTTCATTGAGCCATAACTGATTTCGTTCGCAACACACTTGTAATCATTTATGAGCTGATTTGGACAAATTTTCCATACAGCTTTGAGCAGACGAGAAACGCTTGTCTGGTCTATCTTGTGAAGTTCTTCCCTTAAAAATGGGCCTATATCGAGTCTCATAATGAAAAAAGCATTGATTTTGCTTTTTACTGGAAGATTATTAATGACTCTGTCGTTTTCATTAACGAAGCGACTAATATTTGCCATTTTTAACAACGTACAACAATCTGAGTATTTATTATATTAATTTATCGATTTTTTCGAAGACGATGAGAGGATGGATAGTAGTCAACAAAAACTCGCCTGCTTATTTATACAATATTTTTTTTCGATTTTAACTGGAAAAATAACCTTGTTTTTTCCAAAAGAAACATTAGTAATGTCATTACGCGTATTAAGTGAATTATTAATACATTGTCTTTTAATTGTTTCGCGGAAAATGAAACTCCAATACGAAAAGAAAGAATCGAAGTTTTTTGGTTTGGAAAAAGTCATGATTGATTTCTTTTGATTTCCAAAGTAAGTAGCCTTCATGGTTGCCTTCCAAGTTAAGTTTTCACGCGTATAAAAAAAATTTTCAAATGTTTTTTGTATTTCATGTGATTATTATTATGGTTAGTGTCATTCATTGAGAAACACAAGTGTTCCTAATAATAATTTATTTGTTATAATTATAAATATAACAGAGAAAAAAAGCACCGAGCAGTTGTTAGAGAAATATGGACTAAGAGCAGGAATTAGACTTGGCGAAGTTTATTGATCATTATAATTTTACGGCCATAGAATATTCCAAATAATAAAAAATGGAATTTGTTTAATAGACTTCCTAATTTGATTGGAAGATTTTATCTACATTTATATGTCAATCTTATAAAGATTTGAAAATTGATAAATGAGAAAAAAATAAAAATCCAAAAATATCTTAGTTTCTATTGAAATTAGTTTTTAAAGTAATTGAAATAGAGTTATTTATGGATTGAAAAGGCTTTAATTTTGACATAAAGATTAAATCGGATATCAATTCCTTTACAAAATTCAAACAACAGGTAAAAAGTAATTTATTAACGTGCCTTTCCCAATACCAGAAATAATTGGCAATACTTATTCTTTCATTCCAAATATAGTCGGATTAGCCAACTAATAAGATAATAATAATCAACTGGTAGTATTGTTATTATTAAATTTTTTATTTTTAGTTTTTATCCAGAAACTGGTTATGGTTTTGGAGTTAATTTCGGACTTGCATTATCAAGTTTGACTAAATCAGAACAAACTTAACTAAAACAACATTCTTTGTCCGCAAAAAATCAACATTGCGTTCCTGTGATCAATAAGAGCGTTTTGGCTGAGCTACGCGCGGAGATCTTAAATAAAAATGATGAAATTACACAGTCGTATTTTAAGAAAAATATGCGCGTGCATACTCTTCTGCCGAGAAGAAATTGTAAAAATTATTAATTAGGAAGAAAAAACTTTATTCTTTTCCTTTTACGTATGGTATCTTATTCAATTTCATCCGGTTGTATTTATACACATTTACTTCTGGAGAATGATTGGTGTTTCTGGCCTTTTTGGTGGAATTGAGTTTTTGATTGTTTGGCTAGTGTTAGTTTTAATATAATAATAATCGTTACTATTGTTTATAATTATTTTTTTGAGGTTTCACACAAAATACTTGCAGTGGGTTATTATTTAAAGGGTAACTTTTTTTCGTAATTTTTTTTATGTAATAAATAATTTTTTACGGAAAAATTGATTTTTAACGAAGTCGTTTTTTTTTGTCACCTGATGTGCACTCATCATCGTGTTACAAACATCACAAAAAATTACCAATTTTTTGATGATCTCCTCTCTTTTTTAACATTTTGGACAATGGAACGAAATGAAATTTCCGCAATTGCTAACGGACCACCGATTAAAAAACGCAAATTATGCAAAACAAAGTTTATAACTGGCAATAATAAAGATAATGGCAACAATAATGATATTATGAATGAATTAAAAGATATTGTGTTCCAATATGAAAATGGTAATAGTTATTGAAAATTTTTTTATTATTTCCATATAAATCAATTAATAATAATAATTTATGCGTGAATATTATTATTAGGTTTGCGTAAAGTAAAACCATATTATTATAATTATAAAACTTTTGCTAAAGGTCGTTGGTTAGGACGCAACATACTTGATATTTTTATTACAGAATTTCGAGACAGGTCCAAAGAATATTATGTATGTATGGAAAGAATGAATAAATAACGAATGAATGAATGAATTGTGTGTTATTATTATTATTATTATGTTATCTTCTTCTCAATCATCTTCTTTTCCGTAAAAAAAAATAAAATTTAATAGACAAATGCCATTGAAAAAGGATTAATTACAATCAATGAGAAAATTGTCAAAACTGAAACAAAAGTAAAAAACCAAGACATAATTGGGCATAAAATTCATCGTCATGAACCTCCAATCACATCAACTCCAATAAATATTCTGCATAAAGAAAATGACTTGATTGTTATTAATAAACCCGCGAGTATTCCGGTCCATCCATCTGGAAGATATAGACATAACACTGTTTTACATATTTTAAAAAAAGAACATGGTTTTTCTAATGATCTTCATAGTAAGTTCTTTTGTGTTTAAAAAATCTACTAGTTATGTATGATTAATCTATTTGTTTATTTTTTTAATAGCAATTAATCGACTTGATCGATTAACGTCAGGTATAATGTTGTTGGCATTAAGTAAAGAGAGAGCTAAAGAATTAGAACAACAGATGCAACGAAGAAAAATCAAAAAAGAGTATATTTGTCGAGTGTTTGGCAAATTTCCAGAGTAAAAATCTTTTTTAAATTATGTTGATGATGATAATGATAATAATCATGATGATATTGATAATAGTTATTAACTCAAAAAAATTTTTTAATAATTTTATATACTTTTTAGTGGGGAAATAATATGTGAACAACCAATTAAATGTGTATCTCATAAGCTTGGATTAAATATAGTTGATAAAAGTGGAAAACCATCCACCACTATATTTGAAAAAATCAGCTATAACAAAAATACTAGCGTAGTTAAATGTATCCTTTTAACTTTCCAAAAATAAAAATATGATTTTTGTTATTATTATCATTATTATTATTTAACAAAAAAAATTTACTAACAATTAGGTAAACCTTTGACAGGAAGAACTCATCAAATTCGTGTACATCTTCAATACCTTGGATATCCAATTGCTAATGATCCATTATATTGTAATAAAAAGGTTTGGGGTAGTAATTTAGGTAAAGGTGGGATAAATGAGGAAGCTGGTGATGGTCGCAACGAAGATGATAACGATCAACCATCAATTAAGAATATTATAGAGAAACTTTCAAATGAGGTGGGAGACGACGATGAAATTGATTTAAATCTTAAAAAAACAGACAATGAACAATCTAAGGAGAAAATAGATTTGGTGATTGGAGATAAAAATGAAGAATCTGATGAATATTACTGTGAAGAATGCAATATAAATAAATTTCCAGATCCTAAGCCTAATCAATTATTAATTTGGTTACATGCTTTGAAGTATGAAGGCGAAGGATGGGAATTTAAAACTGATTTACCTGATTGGGCCGAAGATAATTATATTATTGATGAAAATTAAATTTTATTTTTCTGATAATAGAGAAATAAAAAAATAATACATATTAAAATCCTTTCTTTGTCAACCAATCATTTAATTCATGACGATAATCGCCTTTTATTATTATATGACCAGTGTTATCATTGATTGTAACCAAAGTATTGGGGAAAAGTTTTTGAAGTTCTTTATGTAAAGCCTAGTAGTAATAATAACATTATTGTCATTATTTATTTATTGATTGATTTATTGATTTATTGATTTATTGATTATTTACCTCAGTATCACCTTCAATCCTCCTTAAAACAGTTAAAATACGTGTTCTGCCATTCCTTATATCAGAATAAATCGGTAATACTTTATTTTGTGTACGCTCGATAAAATATGGATATTGAACATCTTCATAAAATATTTTCACTTCTTTATTATTTTTCAGGGAAGGATAATATTTATTTGGCATTTGCTCTTTTTTTTGAATCTCTTTTTATTTATATAATGTAAAATACATATATTTATATATATATACACACATACACACCACTGTTAATAAATATAATATAATCATAATAATAATAATACTATTTTATTACCACGGTTATTTTCATTTTCACTTTCCTTTTTGTTATTTTTGCTATCTGTTTTAATGGTTTTAATGGGTATTAAATTATAAAATTTATTGGGAATTTTATAAATGCTGCGAAGCATATTTTTTTTTTTGATATTAATAAAAAAATTAGATGCGACCAAAATATTTTTATTTTCGGTGGTACAAATTAGGATAACTATAATAGCCAATCAGACTTTGAGGTTAAAATTATGATAATCACGTGGCAAGATGTTCGAAATAGTTTAGGAGTTTTCGTGTTTCGAAAATAAGGTTTCTGGTCCAAACTGTTTTCTCAAAGCCCAAACTAGTTTGGGCAATTTGGGCTTCTCAACATTTTCTA